CCCCCCCCCCCCTTTTTTTTTCTTGGAAAAAGAGAGATCAAGGTAAAAAAAAGTGTTCGGAGACCACTCTTAATAGGACCTCACTAGTGGTATCATAAAACCCTTGATAACGCTCATTACTCCTCTCGGGAACTAACTTAAATAGACTAGTATAGTGGTCAATCACCAAACCCTAATGTGAACTCTAAGACTTCAAAGTGAGAAATTCGACCGATACTCTATGTGGATATGTGTTGTGTGCGAGAGAAAGATAGAGGCGATTTAGGGAAAGATTGGGTGAGAGAAGAAAGTTGTCATTTGTCGGGAATTTTCATGTCACTTTTGTGTAAAATTGGTTAAAATGGTAAAAAATTATAAACTTACCTATTGTTGTACGGTATGCTTGTTCTATTCTCATCTTACCTGTATTATTTAGCACATTCAAACACTCGTCATCAAATCAACATATTCTATTATTTTAACAAATGGTNTATACGGTATGTTTGTTCTATTCTCATCTTACCTGTATTATTTAACGCATGCAAACACTCGTCATCAAATCAACATATTCTATTATTTTAACATATGGTAAAAATTATACGGTTATCAATTGTTGAAACGTATCCTATTGTTTTCATTAATCAACAATTCTACTATTTTTTCTATTTCTTTTCAAGTTTAGATCAGTACAATGCAAAAAAAAAAAATCGAAGTTGATGCAANTGTACGGTATGCTTGTTCTATTCTCATCTTACCTGTATTATTTAGCACATTCAAACACTCGTCATCAAATCAACATATTCTATTATTTTAACAAATGGTAAAAATTATACGGTTATCAATTGTTGAAACGTATCCTATTGTTTTCATTAATCAACAATTCTATTATTTTTTCTATTTCTTTTCAAGTTTAGATCAGTACAATGCAAAAAAAAAAAATCGAAGTTGATGCAATTTATTTGGAAGTGATCCTCATACAAGAATTTTGTTACAACTATCTCCCAAAAATTATACCCAACATATTCGACGCACAAAAGCTTCCCCTTTCAATCTTAGAAAAATGATAAAATTACAACGGCACCCACAATTACTTGGAAAAACTATTAGACACCCTATAACATTTCAACTCTGGCCCAAAAACATCTTCACGTTTGAAATCCGTGTTAATGAAACCCTTAACCACGTAAAAAGATGTTATCAATTACAAAAATAGGACTTGAATTACCAACATANAGCCGCCACGTAAAAAGATGTTATCAATTACAAAAATAGGACTTGAATTACCAACATAATCTAATTTTCAAACTAATTCAAAATACTAATATAATCCATCACGTATTTATTCTATTCTTTTTTCCTATCTCCGTTATACATATATACACAACCATCACCATCACCATTGTCAACACTGCCAAAGATCTTAAGCAAAAATTGTTTCAACAGATGATTTTAAACATTTGTGTACCCATGTGTAGAAAGTGAGATGAAGAGAATAATAAGAGGGCTACAAGTTCATGTTTNTTGTCAACACTGCCAAAGATCTTAAGCAAAAATTGTTTCAACAGATGATTTTAAACATTTGTGTCCCCATGTGTAGAAAGTGAGATGAAGAGAATAATAAGAGGGCTACAAGTTCATGTTTGAACCAAGTGGTGTTGCATACTTGCATGTGTAACTATTTCTTAGCTTAGTGAAATTAAATATTATTGGTGAAAAGTTAAACTAGGCTCGACACACGCATTCGATGCCTGTTTCACAAAAAGAAGATGGTTAGAATGAGATAATTTGAATTGCCTATTACTAAAAGGACCCGATATTTGGGCAAAAGACTTCTTTGAAGGTGAAGACAACCGAAGGCAATTTCACCAGNGTTTGACACACGCATTCGATGCCTATTTCACAAAAAGAAGATGGTTAGAATGAGATAATTTGAATTGCCTATTACTAAAAGGACCCAATATTTGGGCAAAAGACTTCTTTGAAGGTGAAGACAACCGAAGGCAATTTCACCAGTCAGAGACCGCGGTCTGGCTAGAATATCTTAGATCAAGATGTTAATGGTCCTCTCCACGTCTGCAGACTGATATCTATCTCCACATAGCACATACTATGGGTTGAGTAATGGAGATATTTACACACAAGTACTAGAGCAGTCCGGGCTGCACATACAGGTGGTCACTAGCTGCCCTTGTACGGAGTCGATGATGCCCTCAAACACTATGCAAACCTGCAACCATCTCAGCCACTTTGGTATAGCGTTCACACAATGTGCGATGAGCGTTTCGATATTAATTAAACAAATATGACATTTTAAAAATACAACTTGAACGTGATTCTCAAGTTCATTCTATGATACAATCAATCTTCCACTGCTTTGTCTGATAAAATTTCTTGTTGTATTTGTTGTTATATTTTTCTCATTCTACACACAATTATTTGCATGTTACTCAAACGTTTTTTCATATATATATATAAAAGAATTGTACTTGTTTAATAAGAATCACATTATTATTGTTTTATCTGGTTGAGTATTTAATATAAAATTTTTAATTTTTACAATATAAATTACAAATCTAAAATTTTGGAGTGCAAATTGTCACTTGTCCCGTAAAAATTAGGATTAATTGTACCGGAGGTCTGCAAAATATGAAATTTATCTCATTTTGAATCACATTATTTTAATTGCATCATTTTTGTCCCTGAAATATTGAATATGTTTTTATATGGTCTCTTAAGTAGATAGCGTTCAGATTGCTAATATTTTTTATCACAAACTTATCACGTGATACTTAAATATAAACAAAAAAANTCCAAAATATGAAATTTATCTCATTTTGAATCACATTATTTTAATTGCATCATTTTGGTCCCTGAAATATTGAATATGTTTTTATATGGTCTCTTAAGTAGATAGCGTTCAGATGCTAATATTTTTTATCACAAACTTATCACGTGATACTTAAATATAAACAAAAAAATAATTTAGATAACTCTTGACCAAATGTATACTTAAATTTTGGTTAAATAGCTATCCAAATAACATAGTTTAAATCACGAACTATCCAAATTTTAGTCAAAACTTACTCATATTACACATTTTTTGTCAAGAACTATCCAAATTTTGTTTAAAAACTATCAAAATTATTTTTTGTCCATATTTAAGTATTACGTAATAAATTTTTGATAAANTTACATAGTTTAAATCACGAACTATCCAAATTTTAGTCAAAATTTACTCATATTACACATTTTTTGTCAAGAACTATCCAAATTTTGTTTAAGAGCTATCAAAATTATTTTTTGTCCATATTTAAGTATTACGTAATAAATTTTTGATAAAAAAATCGTTAATAATTTAGACGTTGTCTGGTTGAGGGATCATATAAAAATATATTCAATACTTTAGAGATTAAAATGGTACAATTAAAATATTGAGATCAAAAGAAAATAAACCCTATATTTTGATATCTCTAGTATTATTAACCCTAAAAATTAAAAAAACCTTGCCAATATTTTNACTTTAGAGATTAAAATGGTACAATTAAAATATTGAGATCAAAATAAAATAAACCCTATACTTTGATATCTCTAGTATTATTAACCCTAAAAATTAAAAAAACCTTGCCAATATTTTTCTCATCTCTTTGTGATCATCTTGTTCGACCCAATAGAGATGGCGGACGGCGTCATATGGCAAAAAAGAACGGGTCACAGATCTGAATATAACTCCTATACAAACAAGCGGACAGTTGAATTCCTGTTCGAACTTCGATTGATTCGTCTCCTGTTTGGGTTCGTGACTCTCCTCTCCTCCTCCTCCTACCCCCTCTACACGGAGAAAGTGAGGAGAGAGAGAGAAGGAATTATAGAGCATTGATAAGGGCTTGGAGAATTACTGGGTAAGTTAATTTCAATCCAAATTTCATTCTCTGAGTACTTATAATTACCAACGATCGGTGGAACATCCATTTATTTGAATCATTTACATGTATTGGTTGGTCACAAATGATTTTTCACCTGAACAACGGTGTAGTTCGCGTTCTCTATGGGTTGTAGAGGTAAATAGTTGCGGACTTGTGATATTTTGGTGTTTCTAGTTTTGCAATGGAACCCAAATCGCCTTCAAAATCGAAACTTCCAACCGTGGGATTTATTCATAATCGCCGAGTACTTAAAACCGGTATAACCCTTTTCGTGGTTTTGCTGTTAGTAGCTATTGCCTATTATTTGATGTTTAGACCTGAAATGGCTTACAATGTGCCAAAAAGTTCGTATTTTACTGTTGTAATTGATTGTGGAAGCACTGGGACAAGAGTTAATGTCTATGAATGGACTGTAAGTAGCGGGGTAAGTCACCGGAACTTGCCCATTTTGCTACATTTTTATCCTGATAATTCGACCAGACGTGATTTTCGGGAAGTTGGTTGTCAATATCACTGCATGCAAACGGAGCCTGGTTTAGATAAATTTGTTGGTAATGCTTCTGGGGTGAGGGCTTCCTTGGAGCCATTGATTCTCTTGGCGGAACAATGGGTGCCTTTGGATAGACGTAGAGATACTCCTATTTTTGTTCTAGCTACTGCTGGAATGAGGAGGTTGACCATGGAGGATGTTGGTCGAGTTTTGGTAGATGTAGAGGCTATTGTAAAAGCACATGACTTTATGTATAGAAAAAGTTGGGTTCGGGTGTTGAGTGGGAAAGAAGAAGCTTATTATGGTTGGGTTGCGTTGAACTTTAAAATGGGGACGTTTGGGAATTTTTTAAGGTCATCCACATTGGGACTTTTAGATTTAGGAGGTTCTTCGTTACAAGTGGTGATGGAAATAGATGACACTAGAGAGGATGAACAAGTTTTAAGGTCAAAGGTTGGCTCAGTTGAAAATTGGATTGCAGCGTACTCATTGCCTGCTTTTGGTCTGGGTGAAGCTTTTGATAGGACTATTGTTATGCTCAGTCATACTCAGGCATTGAGAGAAACTGCTGGTGGCACATTTGAAGTTAGTCATCCTTGTCTCGGTTCCAGTTTTGTGCAAAATTACACTTGTCGTGGTTGCTTCGTGGTAAATTCCAAGGATTCAGAAAATTTAAGTAGTCAAATGAGAGAGAGTTTTTTTAATCCAATAATTCTGGTTGGAGAGCCAAACTGGGAGCAGTGCAAAATACTTGCAAGAGCTGCTTCCATCAATTCAAGCAGTTCAAATTGGTCACCTCTAATAGATCATTCCAATTGCACAGGTTTGGCTTCTGACGATGATCAGTGTTATACATTTTCACTATTTTATGCTGCTGAACATGCGCGTTTGCAAAAGCTTACTCATCCTTGATTTTTGCTGTAATTATTGAAAATTTACAAGACGTCCATCAAGTTGGCCTTGATGATTATTTCCATTTGTGGAAGTCCGGTGTATGTTTGAGTTAGTTCATCCCGTTGTGCTAGTGTCTGTTTTTTCAAGGTGCGTGTGTCCTTCTCGGCTTGGAAGTTTGCTTCTGACATTTGGTTCTGGCATTTTGCTTCAGCCAAGTATTGATTTCCGGACTTTTCAGATAAAGATCCTTAGAGAACCATAAAAGTTTTACAGAGCAGCAAAATTTTGTGCATGATATAGACAATTTGACAAATTTGTAGCATCTATTTGAAAAAGAGATGATATAGTGGAGTGTTGGTGAAAATGGATAGTCTTAGCTGCTGAAGAACCATCTTTGTGCAATGAGCAAGCAACAGTATCTATAACAAAATCATTCCTTTAAATATAGATAGGCTCTTGTAGCTTCCTGTGGATAAATGATTTTCATGGAATGAGCCATCAACAGTTTCTGTTTCAAAATGGTTTGCACTCCTGCCTACCCTGCTGCTAATATTTAGCTTCTGAGAATCTCATTGCACCATTGCTTTTTTACGAGCGTATACTATGTGCTTTCTTTTAGAGAATTGTGTTTCTAGAGTTATTTCTGGTTCTATTGCCTCTGGTTTGGGTTAATAATTTAAGAGGATAAATGGAAATGTNCGAGCGTATACTATGTGCTTTCTTTTAGAGAATTGTGTTTCTAGAGTTATATCTGGTTCTATTGCCTCTGGTTTGGGTTAATAATTTAAGAGGATAAATGGAAATGTTCACTCCTTCAATCAATCTGTGATGCACAGTACTTGGTACTTATAACTCGAAATTATTGTCTTGCATCTACTTCAGTAGACACTTATATTTGTTACTACAGCAGCTTTAATTTTTTATTGTGCTGCCTTTCTATAGAGAAACTGCTCTATTTTCCCTATTAGAACACTATATTATTTATTTTTATTTTCTGTTTCTTTTCTGCAGGCAATAACATACTCAATTTGACAAGAAGTACCCACCCAACTGCACGCTTTCATGCTCTATCTGGATTTTTTGCAGTTTACAACATGTTAAATTTGAGCCCAAGCGCGAACCTGACTAAGATTTGGGAAAAAGGTGAGGAGCTATGCTCAAGATCATTGGCTGACTTGACCAGCATTTCTGAAAACCGACATTATGCTGGACAATATTGCTTCAAACTGCCCTATATGGCATCACTTATTGAGGATGCTTTGCGTCTTAAAGAAACCGAGATAGTGTTTGGCCCTGGTGACGTTTCTTGGACATTAGGAGCTGCACTGATTGAGGGGGAATACCTATGGCTTGGTACTACCAAGGCTCGGAGTGGCATTTTAACTCGAACCCTAGGAAATAATGGGGCAATTTTATCCCCCATTTTTTTGTTTGTTATACTTTTATTCCTTATATCAATTGTTTACTGCAGTCNGTGTCTTAAAGAAACCGAGATAGTGTTTGGCCCTGGTGACGTTTCTTGGACGTTAGGAGCTGCACTGATTGAGGGGGAATACCTATGGCTTGGTACTACCAAGGCTCGGAGTAGCATTTTAACTCGAACCCTAGGAAATAATGGGGCAATTTTATCCCCCATTTTTTTGTTTGTTATACTTTTATTCCTTATATCAATTGTTTACTGCAGTCAGATCAAGCTACCCATGCTAGGCAGGAAGGTTGCTGCTGTTGGGGCATCTCTTCCATCTTATACATGCACCAAGCACCGCCCAATCTAATTTTTTGGCTGGCATATGTGCACTGGTTGCTAAAAAGGGTGTTAATTTTTTAGACAATTTTGGTAAAAACTTTGTTCTGTGGATTTGGGTTGAGGTTAGAGATTGCTTGCGGGATGATAGCTTGACCTTGATGTTGGATATCAATTATTACACTGTTTTGTTAATCTGCATCTTTTTGCTTTTCATTTTTGAGAGTATGAAAGTAGTTGAAGCCAGGTTGTTCAATGGAGGCAAATATATACAATCTAATACATTTTATTATGTCTTGAACTATTGGACGATGTAACACACCTAAGATTATAAAAAGAAGGTAACCAGATGCAATATAAGAGGATAGTAGGACAACGGATCATAATTCGTTAGAGAAGTGTTTGAGTTGTAAGCATATGAAGATTCAAAGGATCTCACATTGATCTAATTCGTTCTAATGATCTTCTACTACCTTTCGTAACATCCATGAAAGAGAGATAGAAACTTTAGAAAGTTTGAGGCGAGAATTGATAGGGAGGTAAGGAACATTATGGTAGGACTAACAAAAGACTTTTTTATCTCCAATTTATAACTAGAACATACAACTGGAGGAAAATATATAGAATGAGAATGTAAAATTTATTGTCTTTGGTAGTGATACTGCCATTAAAGAAGGACATCTTAAGTGCACTAGATCTAATGTGGATGTTCTTCTGGTACAAACTATACTAGGGCGTGTATTCAACTCGTTAGGAGTAACTATTGATGGAAGAAGGGCTCTGAGCACTGGCAAGCGAAGACATGTTGAAGTTGAGAGCTCCTGAAATTATTAAACGTAAATCTGTGTACTAACCAAACTTCCTAATTGAACGTGGTTTGTATTGTATGTCCAATACAAATATCCAACACAAAGTCCCAAGGATAACCAATGATCACAGAGAGAGAGAGAGAGAGAGAGAGAGAAGAAGAAGAAGAAAAAGCAGCAGCTCTCGATGGATGCCCATGTCAACCTAGCCTGTAAATGTGGATTGTCTTGCATCTTAATGAAATACAAATTATCTTGCTGATTCAATTTCATTCCGAAAGAGAACATGGCNGGATCATAATTCGTTAGAGAAGTGTTTGAATTGTAAGCATATGAAGATTCAAAGGATCCCACATTGATCTAATTCGTTCTAATGATCTTCTACTACCTTTCGTAACATCCATGAAAGAGAGAGAGAAACTTTAGAAAGTTTGAGGCGAGAATTGATAGGGAGGTAAGGAACATTATGGCAGGACTAACAAAAGACTTTTTTATCTCCAATTCATAACTAGAACATACAACTGGAGGAAAATATATAGAATGAGAATGTAAAATTTATTGTCTTTGGTAGTGATACTGCCATTAAAGAAGGACATCTTAAGTGCACTAGATCTAATGTGGATGTTCTTCTGGTACAAACTATACTAGGGCGTGTATTCAACTCGTTAGGAGTAACTATTGATGGAAGAAGGGCTCTGAGCACTGGCAAGCGAAGACATGTTGAAGTTGAGAGCTCCTGAAATTATTAAACGTAAATCTGTGTACTAACCAAACTTCCTAATTGAACGTGGTTTGTATTGTATGTCCAATACAAATATCCAACACAAAGTCCCAAGGATAACCAACGATCACAGAGAGAGAGAGAGAGAGAGAGAGAAGAAGAAGAAGAAAAAGCAGCAGCTCTCGATGGATGCCCATGTCAACCTAGCCTGTAAATGTGGATTGTCTTGCATCTTAATGAAATNAAGAAGAAGAAGAAAAAGCAGCAGCTCTCGAGGGATGCCCATGTCAACCTAGCCTGTAAATGTGGATTGTCTTGCATCTTAATGAAATACAAATTATCTTGCTGATTCAATTTCATTCCGAAAGAGAACATGGCTGTATGTATAACTTATTATTCATAATATTAACAGACACGATGTTCTATTAGCTCCTTTATACAATACATGAAACAGGATATTTACTACAATGGGTGCACTTGCTGCAGAAGTTCAGTATGTAGCTATTGGATTTAATCCGCAGTCATCCAATTCGGATCCACCAACATCCACCCAGACTTCATTTACACGGCCGATGAACCGAAAGGGAGAATTGTACTGTGCAATGGAGTAAGCATATTCACGCTTGGAAGAAGTACGGTTCGCCCATGGAGATCTGCCAAGGCTGATGGCCAGTCTCTCTGCCTCTTTCACAATATTTGCATCTCTTGCAAATCCTGAGAACTTCCTGACAGCAATGCAGCGAGTAGTCCATGGATCCGGTTTAAGGTTTAGTTCAGGTAGAGGAAGCGGAGGAATGACTTGGGACTTCGCAGGTAAATAGAGTAGAACAAAGTAGGCTGATGAGTGAAGAGGTCCAGCTTCTGGGACAATGCTTGTCAGGACAGGCACTGTCATTGAGATCCTAGAGAAGTTCAGATTTGCACCTTCAATGTACTCAAATAATCTGTGAGGCAAAACAAGAAGACATCTTAAAATGAATGGCATCCTTAAAAATCTGCTAATACGTGTGCACGCGCTTGTGTGTGAGTGTGTGTGTGTGTGTGAGAGAGAGAGAGAGAGAGAGAGAGAGTAGAATTCTTCAATAGGCTTGAATGACACCAACATCCATTACTTTTCTGAAAAACCACCTTCTCAATTTCATATTAGAATGGCTCTCATTCCTCTAAGTTTTGCGAAGTTCAGAGTAGTTTCAACACAAATAAGACAGTTGCACAGAGTGCAATCTATTACAGGATTTAACTTCCAAGAAATACCTTACAAAGCCTCAAAAGGTAAAATGCAACCAATCACCTTCAGACATGCATACTGCCTTATTTAATGAACCGCCTTATATGCTAATGTATATACTCAGAAGAGTGCAAAATTGTCACATCTTGGGTAGCAAGGGAATTCAGTATAGATTACACGCTAGCAAGTATAAGCATTAAACAGGTAGAGAACAAAATCAAGAATGGAAACACCATTTATACATAATTGAAGCTCAAAGNAATACCTTACAAAGCCTCAAAAGGTAAAATGCAACCAATCACCTTCAGACATGAATACTGCCTTATATAATGAACCGCCTTATATGCTAATGTATATACTCAGAAGAGTGCAAAATTGTCACATCTTGGGTGGCAAGGGAATTCAGTATAGATTACACGCTAGCAAGTATAAGCATTAAACCGGTAGAGAACAAAATCAAGAATGGAAACACCATTTATACATAATTGAAGCTCAAAGAACAGATACTCCTTGAAAAAAGAACTGGTAAGTTGAAGAAAATAGGCTTATAGCCTTATACATCCGGAAGTAGCATGTGTAGAAGCCAAAAAAAATGCTCATGCATGTACACGTCTACACGTTCCACCCAAAAGTGCTACCGCTAGTACCAAGAAATTAATCCCATGTCATCCTTGGTTCTTCAATTTTTTTAAATCCCCAAAACGAGAGTTACACAATCTATGACCAGCCACCCTTATTACTGACAATGCCTCCCAGCAAACAATACTAGAAAAACAAAACCATACAAAGCTGTCGATTGATTCTTGTTCTTGTGGGTGAAGTATTAACACTTCAAATTATCCAAAGCCAGAATTGTGAAATACAACCTCATATATAATTGGCTTGCAATAGAGGGGAATCATGAAACAGAAAGGTGAAAAGAAGCAGCAGAAAAAGTGAATTAACTTTTACAGATCTCAGAGGGTTTGGTTGGACAAAATTACGGATCCCTTAATTCAAGACTTCAGACCATTTTTTTTTTTTTTTTTTTTTTAAGCAGCCAAATATCGCATTGTTTGGGTGAATGACTGTTAAATAAAGACAAATACCATCAATCCAATATATTTGGTAATTGTGAACTAGGTATCAGAAAGCAACAGATCAATAATGCCTTACAGCGAAATTCTGTAGTGTCATGTTAGTTATCCCAAGTAAAGTGAGGAAACTGGAAAGCTATTTGAAGACTGAGATTCAATCCATCTAACAGAATTTACACAGGTTTGAATTCATTCTAGACGCTACCGAAAAAAAAAAAAACATAATGGAACTTCAGGATGACAGGATTAATATCTCATACAACATGCATGTAGAAATGATTAAAGAGGTGATCAATTGCATGATATTTTAATGTCCAAGAAGTCAGATTCCAGCAAAGCAAAATGTCGGTAATAATTAAAAAAAAAAAAGAAAGAAAATATTTCTTCAAAAACAAATGATTGTACTTTAAGAATAATGAAAAAGCAATTGCCATGGTGTTCCGGATAAGAATTTTTTTTTTTTAAAGATGTAATGAGTATATTTCAAGAAATATCAATTGAATAATTAATTTGTTTTTCTATCTTTCTTGTGTGTCTGGTTTCTATCTTTCTCAATTACTAGTTATGTTATTTTTATACTTGTGTTTTATTATGTTGAATTTCATGTGTCTGGGATAACCAGTAGTCTTAAATGCACATTCAATTATTCAATTTGAAACATACTCATTACATCTTTTAAAAAATACTTTTTCTCTTTTTCTTTTACTTGTCCAGAACACCATGACAACCATGCCAATTGTTTTTTCATTATTTTTCAAGTACAATCATTTATTTTTGAAGGAATTTTTTCTTTTTCTTTTTCTTCTTTTTATTTATTTATTATTATTTATTACTGACATTATTACTTTACTTTGCTAGAATATGTGGACATTGTCGTGCTAAAATCTTGAATTATTGCTGAAAATTTTTAATGCATGAGGGTTGGGAATTCCTAAGCAAAGGAAATTCTCAAACTTTGGCTTTAATTCACTTTACTACCTTAGTATGTTGACTAGACTATAGAGGTGAATTTTTGCGCAACCTTTGATGTAATGCTTTACAAATTTTTTGTAAATCTTGATAAATATCCGAAATATAATTTAGGCTTCCTAAAAATCTTTGTAATTACTTTTTATCTTTAATTTCATTTGAAAAGTTGTTTGCAGATTGAATTGTTCTTTCAATTTGGACAATAGTTCCATGATGAATATAATGCCATTTTGTTCGGAAAAAAAAAGAAAGAATATAATGTCCTACAAACCTTATAAGATTGGAGAAGTTTGATCTTTGAAGCATAAACAACTAAACCATTATGTCTAATTTTGTTGACAAATATCTGGAAATATTTCCAACGTTGTTCTATTGAGTTTGAGTATATAAGTACATCATCAATATAAACAATAGAAAAATTAGTGAAAGGAAAGAAAATTTCATTTATCATATTTTGAAATTATGATGGAGCATTTTTAATCCAAATGACATTACATTCCAATCGTAATGACCAAATAGTACAGCAAAAACTATTTTATATCGATCTTTTTAAGCTATTTGAATTTGCCAAAATCATTTTACTTCATGTCAAGATTTTGAAAATATACATGCATATATAGTCTTCCTAATAAATCTTTTTTATTTGGAATTGGATACCTTATTTGTTGTAAGGCATCATTAAGTGTTTTGTAATTTATTACTAATATTGGAGCTTCTCTTTCTAACACAACATTATTTTGCACATAAAATACAGGATAACTCCAAGGATAATAACTTTTGTGAATTAAATTTTTGTTAAGAGGTGATCACTTGAATGCCATTTTAGCTGGTTTTCTGGATTGTGTCTCCTCTTAATATCAATTGGACAACTCTTTGGTGGATGAAATGCTGATAATCTGTTATTGGTAGTCCAGATAGTACGAAAAGATAAGTTGCGATAAAAACCACTCCAATTTCAGACTAGAAGGCTACTTAGAAGAGAGATTATAACATTTCTTACTCGCTCCCTATCTTCTTTCTCATTCTTTTTTTCTCCTTTTCTTTCTCTCACGTCCGTAAATAAAGCAGGCATTCTAGTCACTATTCTNATTCATAATGACCAAATAGTACAGCAACAACTATTTTATATCGATCTTTTTAAGCTATTTGAATTTGTCAAAATCATTTTACTTCATGTCAAGATTTTGAAAATATACATGCATATATAGTCTTCCTAATAAATCTTTTTTATTTGGAATTGGATACCTTATTTGTTGTAAGGCATCATTAAGTGTTTTGTAATTTATTACTAATATTGGAGCTTCTCTTTCTAACACAACATTATTTTGCACATAAAATACAGGATAACTCCAAGGATAATAACTTTTGTGAATTAAATTTTTGTTAAGAGGTGATCACTTGAATGCCATTTTAGCTGGTTTTCTGGATTGTGTCTCCTCTTAATATCAATTGGACAACTCTTTGGTGGATGAAATGCTGATAATCTGTTATTGGTAGTCCAGATAGTACGAAAAGATAAGTTGCGATAAAAACCACTCCAATTTCAGACTAGAAGGCTAGCATAACTTAGAAGAGAGATTATAACATTTCTTACTCGCTCCCTATCTTCTTTCTCATTCTTTTTCTCTCCTTTTCTTTCTCTCACGTCCGTAAATAAAGCAGGCATTCTAGTCACTATTCTCCAGAGAATTTTTTGAAATAACTTCATTTACACTTTCCAATCGATTATGACCCTAATGTCTTCTAAGTTGATTCACTACTTTATCACATCACTCCAAATCAAGCCTTTTGTAAAAACACGTGTGCAAGCCTCCAACTCCTCATAAGCCATCTTTATTTTCATTGCTTTGCTTTTGTTCGTTTATAGAGCCAAGTTTTGTAAGGCAATGATGGGTTATACAGACCATGATTGTCCTAACCCACGTCTCTAGCAAAATCCACCAAGACACATTATCAGCTGGGCCTGCTGGCACATATGAGCAAAAGAAAATTTCAGTTATCTATGTGTTCCTGTAACTTTTCTTGACAACTCTACCCACCTTTTCTAATCACTTTCATTTACTTTTGCTNGGTGATAATAGATTAGGCTGTGCGACCAAAAAAAATTCCAACTGTTGTTTTTTGAAAAACTATATATGTTCTAAAATTTTTGAATAATAAGATTAATGAAGAAAATGTGATATAATTAAATAAAAATATATTGTCTATATATGCAATTATTATTTTTATTTTTTTTTTGTGAGGGAGAAAAGGGAGTTACACTCTTGACCTTAAAAAGAAAAAATATTTACAAAATAAAGAGTACCATTAAACCAAAAGTATGTTGGTATGCAATTATTATTCAAGGCCGGGCTGAGCCACCCAATATAAAACAAAGGGAAAGTATATGGTACTACCACCATTGGTAACAAAATGAAAATTATAAATTTTGAAAGTCTAGTTACAATTTTTTGAAGCGTAAATTATAACTTACAAAAGCATAATCAATCTTAAAACACTTCGACTGATCATGAAGGTTATAATTTTGAAAAGTTCAATTACAACTTTCAAATGTCTAATTACAACACATAAAAAATTACAACTATAAAAGAAAAGTTACAACTATTTAAGAAAATCTTATAATCGATTGTACCTATCAAAGATATAACCTTATCATCAAAAAGTTATTATGGTTCAGTTGGTCTACTTGAATTAACCAATACAAACCATAATCCAATGAGCAATAAACGAATATTGATGACTTTTGCCAATCGTGCTTTGTTCATGCTTCACCCATCACAGTTTGAGTTCGAAAGAGACAACATTTTACGACAAGCATTCCATTGCACAATGCTTCCTCAATTGCAGCCCTGGTGCATTTTCAGGGCCACAAGACTACAAGTATGCCTTCCTCTATGTAGAGAACTTACAGAATGTTTCAAACTCCTGATAAGGGTTCCCACATAAAAGGTCGTACCAGTACACTATGCTATAACGAGTCCGGAAGAGATGAATAATAGGCTATCTTCCTCCCGTGTTTTGAGAGATTGATTCCTAGACTTGAACCAAATACCCAACAAAAACAGGAAAAATACCTAAAATCCGGGCATAGGTCAACATTGGAATCAGTGTGAAGTAAAATAGTTTCATCCATGGGGAAGTATTACTAGTATATTCTCGCAGAATAAAAGACTGAACTTGAATTAATATTTTTATTGGTACGAGGAAAAAATCTTGTTCCAATGCTAAGAGGTGGGTATTACAAATTACAATGAGAACTCGCAAATTATTATTTTTACCCACCAAAAAATCAGAACTTACAAAATTTAACCTTCTACCTTTTTCAGCCTTTCAACATCATCAGATTGACTACATTTCTATGGCCGTTGGTGAACGATGAGTGATGAGGTCCTTGCTATCTAAAGGTGGCAGGAACTGTTTCTTCTGTAAAATACTCCTCTATGACGGTTTTCACTGAGCAAAATCTCACCTTAAATTGAAACAGATGGATGAAAATACAATCAAACCAGAAGTACATAAAAGAGCACAGGATGGCATCACATTTCTAAACAACAGTAATTTCAAGTTCAGGTTTTGAGAGTGCGCATCTACTGTTAGTTCGGTTCTTTTCAGGGAAAAAAATCTGAGGTCATGCTAGATTGACCAAAAAATGAGACGGCACCAAGTCATTTGGTCCTTGTTTTTGGTGAACTTTTTGGTCAGGCTAGCATTATGCAAATATTTAAATGTCAACAAGTGTACCAGTGTAAATTAGGAATAGAATAATGCTACATAAGTAGTAGTAGTAGTAGTAGTAGTAGTTATCATGTTGGAGACTGGAATGTTATTGTGCCTCACCAAGATGCGAAGCACTAGTGACAAAACAAGTAGCTGTCATGAGTTGGAGTAGAAAGTTATAATTACAAATATAAATGAAAGTAATTAACAGTCAAACTGCAGAGAGGAAAAAATACAGAAGTGACAAAATAGAAAATGATTACCAGCGACGCATATGATTTCAACATAGGCTTGGCCAGCTGCCAAACTGGCTTAAACAAGAATGGAGCTTCCACAAAAAGCACTTCACCCAACCTCCGTGGATAGTAGTAATAGAAAACGTCAAACTGCAAAGAATGGGATACTCCATTACCGTCAAGATACCCATAAAGCTGTTGGCAGGCAATTCTGCTTTTGCCTTTCAAATTTCCAAAAAATATTTCCAAAATGAGTTAACTAAATATATATTTAAATCAGACGATGGAAAATTTTGAAGTACAAAATTCTTATTTCAACAGTCCAACTGATGTTGTTTAGTTTTTGCCAGCAAACGCAACAACAGAAATAAACTCAAACATCCAAAGAGATCAGCAGGTTCAATTGGATAAGAAGTAATCAATGAAACTGCAATCAATGCGTAAACTGTTTCCGTTTGGTACAGGTGCAGTAACAGAAATAGTAGTTGTATCCTGTACAGCCAACAGAGTATTTAACGGTATCCAAATACTTTTCGCTGAGAAAGGAACTTTATGGGAAATCTATAAAATCTAATCAATTTATCCTGGCAAACCNCGGCACCAAGTCATTTGGTCCTTGTTTTTGGTGAACTTTTTGGTCAGGCTAGCATTATGCAAATATTTAAATGTCAACAAGTGTACCAGTGTAAATTAGGAATAGAATAATGCTACATAAGTAGTAGTAGTAGTAGTAGTAGTAGTTATCATGTTGGAGACTGGAATGTTATTGTGCCTCACCAAGATGCGAAGCACTAGTGACAAAACAAGTAGCTGTCATGAGTTGGAGTAGAAAGTTATAATTACAAATATAAATGAAAGTAATTAACAGTCAAACTGCAGAGAGGAAAAAATACAGAAGTGACAAAATAGAAAATGATTACCAGCGACGCATATGATTTCAACATAGGCTTGGCCAGCTGCCAAACTGGCTTAAACAAGAATGGAGCTTCCACAAAAAGCACTTCACCCAACCTCCGTGGATAGTAGTAATAGAAAACGTCAAACTGCAAAGAATGGGATACTCCATTACCTTCAAGATACCCATAAAGCTGTTGGCAGGCAATTCTGCTTTTGCCTTTCAAATTTCCAAAAAATATTTCCAAATTGAGTTAACTAAATATATATTTAAATCAGACGATGGAAAATTTTGAAGTACAAAATTCTTATTTCAACAGTCCAACTGATGTTGTTTAGTTTTTGCCAGCAAACGCAACAACAGAAATAAACTCAAACATCCAAAGAGATCAGCAGGTTCAATTGGATAAGAAGTAATCAATGAAACTGCAANGATGATAATAGATTAGGCTGTGCGACCAAAAAAACTTCCAACTGTTGTTTTTATTTTAATTTGTTTTTCGAAAAACTATATATGTTCTATAATTTTTGAATAATAAGATTAATGAAGAAAATGTGATATAATTAAATAAAAATATATTGTCTATGTATGCAATTATTATTTTTATTTTTTTTGTGTGAGGGAGAAAAGGGAGTTGCACTCTTGACCTTAAAAAAAAAAATATTTACAAAATAAAGAGTACCATTAAACCAAAGGTATATTGGTATGCAATTATTATTCAAGGCCGGGCTGAGCCACCCAATATAAAACAAAGGGNGGACCAGTTTTAGGACAAAAAAGTTCCAAACAGCAACCTCTTCTAGTTTTATATATTGGGGAATAAAAATGAAAGAAGAAAGGACACTAAAGTAATGAAGAGCAAACATGATAAGAGTAATGAGAGAGTAGATAATTCAGGTTTTGGACTTACCTCAGGAAAATGCTTGGACACCTCCACTATTAGCACTGGTCGGCCACAGACATCAACAAAGTCATGCACGTAGGATNCAAATTACAACACATAAAAAGTTACAACTATAAAAGAAAAGTTACAACTATTTAAGAAAATCTTATAATCGATTGTACCCATCAAAGATATAACCTTATCATCAAAAAATTATTATGGTTCAGTTGGTCTACTTGAATTAACCAATACAAACCATAATCCAATGAACAATAAACGAATATTGATGACTTTTGCCAATCGTGCTTTGTTCATGCTTCACCCATCACAGTTTGAGTTCGAAAGAGACAACATTTTACGACAAGCATTCCATTGCACAATGCTTCCTCAATTGGCAGCCCTGGTGCATTTTCAGGGCCACAAGACTACAAGTATGCCTTCCTCTATGTAGAGAACTTACAGAATGTTTCAAACTCCTGATAAGGGTTCCCACATAAAAGGTCGTACCAGTACACTATGCTATAACGAGTCCGGAAGAGATGAATAATAGGCTATCTTCCTCCCGTGTTTTGAGAGATTGATTCCTAGACTTGAACCAAATACCCAACAAAAACAGGAAAAATACCTAAAATCCGGGCATAGGTCAACATTGGAATCAGTGTGAAGTAAAATAGTTTCATCCATGGGGAAGTATTACTAGTATATTCTCGCAGAATAAAAGACTGAACTTGAATTAATATTTTTATTGGTACGAGGAAAAAATCTTGTTCCAATGCTAAGAGGTGGGTATTACAAATTACAATGAGAACTCGCAAATTATTATTTTTACCCACCAAAAAATCAGAACTTACAAAATTTAACCTTCTACCTTTTTCAGCCTTTCAACATCATCAGATTGACTACATTTCTATGGCCGTTGGTGAACGATGAGTGATGAGGTCCTTGCTATCTAAAGGTGGCAGGAACTGTTTCTTCTGTAAAATACTCCTCTATGACGGTTTTCACTGAGCAAAATCTCACCTTAAATTGAAATAGATGGATGAAAATACAATCAAACCAGAAGTACATAAAAGAGCACAGGATGGCATCACATTTCTAAACAACAGTAATTTCAAGTTCAGGTTTTGAGAGTGCGCATCTACTGTTAGTTCGGTTCTTTTCAGGGAAAAAAATCTGAGGTCATGCTAGATTGACCAAAAAATGAGACAGCACCAAGTCATTTGGTCCTTGTTTTTGGTGAACTGTTTGGTCAGGCTAGCATTATGCAAATATTTAAATGTCAACAAGTGTACCAGTGTAAAAAACATATTAGTGTAAATTAGGAATAGAATAATGCTACATAAGTAGTAGTAGTAGTAGTTATCATGTTGGAGACTGGAATGTTATTGTGCCTCACCAAGATGCGAAGCACTAGTGACAAAACAAGTAGCTGTCATGAGTTGGAGTAGAAAGTTATAATTACAAATATAAATGAAAGTAATTAACAGTCAAACTGCAGAGAGGAAAAAATACAGAAGTGACAAAATAGAAAATGATTACCAGCGACGCATATGATTTCAACATAGGCTTGGCCAGCTGCCAAACTGGCTTAAACAAGAATGGAGCTTCCACAAAAAGCACTTCACCCAACCTCCGTGGATAGTAGTAATAGAAAACGTCAAACTGCAAAGAATGGGATACTCCATTACCTTCAAGATACCCATAAAGCTGTTGGCAGGCAATTCTGCTTTTGCCTTTCAAATTTCCAAAAAATATTTCCAAATTGAGTTAACTAAATATATATTTAAATCAGACGATGGAAAATTTTGAAGTACAAAATTCTTATTTCAACAGTCCAACTGATGTTGTTTAGTTTTTGCCAGCAAACGCAACAACAGAAATAAACTCAAACATCCAAAGAGATCAGCAGGTTCAATTGGATAAGAAGTAATCAATGAAACTGCAATCAATGCGTAAACTGTTTCCGTTTGGTACAGGTGCAGTAACAGAAATAGTAGTTGTATCCTGTACAGCCAACAGAGTATTTAACGGTATCCAAATACTTTTCGCTGAGAAAGGAACTTTATGGGAAATCTATAAAATCTAATCAATTTATCCTGGCAAACCTTGAAACAATCAGTTCGTTGTTAAATTGGATACCTCGAGATTAGGGTTTGAACTCAATTCAGATCTAGCATAATAATAAGAAAAAGGTATTATTAAACAGATAATCAGCAACTAGCTGATAGAAATTACCAAGAATGTTAAGAACTTGATATCTGCATTCTCAGTACCAAAGCCCCGGAGATCAATTATTGCAAGTATATCTTGTTTTCCTGCAGGTAGTCTACTTAATGCCTTTTCAATCAGGAACACACATAGTTTCTCATCTTCATAAGGATCCTGCATCTGTGCCAACTCATTTAAAATATATAATCAGCACCCATACCACCAGAAAAAGAAAAAAAAAAATTAAGTCAATCAGATAGGAGTTCAAATTGAAAAAAACAAAAAGCAAAAAAAGGAATTCTCCAACTTAAACATGGTAAACACAAGTATAACTTCAAAATGGGAGAATTTCTCAAAATGCCAACCTCTATGGTCGCCTTGATGATACTCTAAATATTACAACCAAATTGTATGACACCTAGAAAGATATAGAATGATGGTGTAAATGAGGTTCACTAAAACTAAACACAATATAAATCTTCACCACTAGAAAGACTGCAAAAACACAGTTGAAAATAGTTCTAGACTCAAACTCGACAATCTTTGCTACTTCCAACTGTTAAAGGAGTACCAGTTTTAGGACAAAAAAGTTCCAAACAGCAACCTCTTCTAGTTTTATATATTGGGGAATAAAAATGAAAGAAGAAAGGACACTAAAGTAATGAAGAGCAAACATGATAAGAGTAATGAGAGAGTAGATAATTCAGGTTTTGGACTTACCTCAGGAAAATGCTTGGACACCTCCACTATTAGCACTGGTCGGCCACAGACATCAACAAAGTCATGCACGTAGGATTTTCCTGTTTCAGCTACACTTTTCACAGATTCCTCTGACAATTGTGACACACCAAATTCTTGACGCCATCTCTGATAGGTAGAAGGAAAATTGGCATGTATAAATCAAAGATATCCTATTTTTTTCATTGTCTGAAACTATGAAANAGAAAGTCATGCACGTAGGATTTTCCTGTTTCAGCTACACTTTTCACCGATTCCTCTGACAATTGTGACACACCAAATTCTTGACGCCATCTCTGATAGGTAGAAGGAAAATTGGCATGTATAAATCAAAGATATCCTATTTTTTTCATTGTCTGAAACTATGAAAATATTTATATGCAAACAATATTACAAGTGTTCCTTTATCAATATATAAGCAATAATTGCTGCATCCAAAACTTTATTTATATGCAAAAGAAAAATGATAACAAATAAATCTAAAGAAGCCAGGGGACAAAACTTAAAAAGTGAACCCCCCCTCCCCCCCACGCCCACCCAAAAACAACAACATACACACAGACCAAAAAAAACAAAAGGAAAGGGGGTCTACCCATTTTGGCATAACAAATTGCCAGATAATAGTCAAAGTATAATATTTGAAACATGCTGAGGCAGAAAATAACAATAGAAAAACAATAGAAATTAAATTACAATGGCTTTGGTCAATTTTGAGACAGCATCTCTGACAGAAAACTTCCGGTCCTTCAAAAACCAGAGGATCATGTCTTCATCATCTCTTCCATTTCTGCCCACAGGGAGATTGTGATAATCCTTTTCAAGCTTCTCTTTTACTTCCAGTACCATCTGCAAGTTCAAAAGCAGCAAAGACCATAAGGTTCTACAAAAGTTCAAGTCCTTGAGAAATGCATAAACAACAAACCAAGATCCAATTAATGCTGGTATGTAGTATCCTTGGACAACTCAACAACATATCTGAAGGTGTCTCTATTGATATGTTCAGCAAAACTTTCCCTTTTTTTGACGGGAAGGTTCAGCAACTTAAATTATGTGCTCATTATCCACATTTATAATATAACTCCATCTACTATAGATGCCACTTCACTCTGTCTAAATTATGCAGCTAACTACAACACTACTTCTGTTATATATGATTCTTCTTTCATTTGAGAGTACTCCATTGAAAAAGAGTCTTACTCCAAATAAAATGTTTCGATGTTTGTCCAAAAGAATTTTGTGAGAATACAATATGATGCAGGTTACGCTTCATACATTTAGTTTGACAATGAAGTAGCTTCTGTAAAAGAAGAGATGAGGTTGAGGGAGAAGGGCAATGGATAGTGATGTATATTAGAGAGGGCCCCGCCGGGGGCGATTGACTTAGTAATCACATGTGATTTAGAAACCCACTGCTCGCATTTGTTTGTTCTNGTACCAGTTTTAGGACAAAAAAGTTCCAAACAGCAACCTCTTCTAGTTTTATATATTGGGGAATAAAGATGAAAGAAGAAAGGACACTAAAGTAATGAAGAGCAAACATGATAAGAGTAATGAGAGAGTAGATAATTCAGGTTTTGGACTTACCTCAGGAAAATGCTTGGACACCTCCACTATTAGCACTGGTCGGCCACAGACATCAACAAAGTCATGCACGTAGGATTTTCCTGTTTCAGCTACACTTTTCACCGATTCCTCTGACAATTGTGACACACCAAATTCTTGACGCCATCTCTGATAGGTAGAAGGAAAATTGGCATGTATAAATCAAAGANATGTGACATCTTACAAGCAAGGATCAAAATATCGTTTCGGTGTATTGTTTCGGTCACCTTGAAAACGGAAACGTTTCGACGTGCTTCACAAACATTTTGACCCATTTTGAAAACATAATGAAAAAAATAAAAATTTAAGAATTATTTTTTTAAAACATTGATAGAAATACATCAAAGTATCTTGAAATATCTTGAAACATTCTAAAACAATTGTACAAATGCATTGAAATATTATAATACATTTAAAAACATTATGGAATACCTCAAAATATCAAAATTTCGATTCCATCACTGTTTCGTTTGAGTCTCCTTGAAAATGGAAACGTTTCGACCGTTTTGAAATGATATTTTGATCCTTGCCTACAAGGGATGCTTGTAAAATTCCCAAGAAGGAAAATCTAAGGTAGAGAATACTGAGACAATAATAACTAATCTATTGTCCCTTGCTTGTAGTGCCAAAATACAATAAACTCTATCTTCTTTGGGGGAAATATGGTTTATCTCATACATTGTATAATTGCAAAGTTGGGTTATGTAGTGAGAACATAAAAGNAAGTACAAAATTCTTATTTCAACAGTCCAACTGATGTTGTTTAGTTTTTGCCAGCAAACGCAACAACAGAAATAAACTCAAACATCCAAAGAGATCAGCAGGTTCAATTGGATAAGAAGTAATCAATGAAACTGCAATCAATGCGTAAACTGTTTCCGTTTGGTACAGGTGCAGTAACAGAAATAGTAGTTGTATCCTGTACAGCCAACAGAGTATTTAACGGTATCCAAATACTTTTCGCTGAGAAAGGAACTTTATGGGAAATCTATAAAATCTAATCAATTTATCCTGGCAAACCTTGAAACAATCAGTTCGTTGTTAAATTGGATACCTCGAGATTAGGGTTTGAACTCAATTCAGATCTAGCATAATAATAAGAAAAAGGTATTATTAAACAGATAATCAGCAACTAGCTGATAGAAATTACCAAGAATGTTAAGAACTTGATATCTGCATTCTCAGTACCAAAGCCCCGGAGATCAATTATTGCAAGTATATCTTGTTTTCCTGCAGGTAGTCTACTTAATGCCTTTTCAATCAGGAACACACATAGTTTCTCATCTTCATAAGGATCCTGCATCTGTGCCAACTCATTTAAAATATATAATCAGCACCCATACCACCAGAAAAAGAAAAAAAAAATCTAAGTCAATCAGATAGGAGTTCAAATTGAAAAAAACAAAAAGCAAAAAAAGGAATTCTCCAACTTAAACATGGTAAACACAAGTATAACTTCAAAATGGGAGAATTTCTCAAAATGCCAACCTCTATGGTCGCCTTGATGATACTCTAAATATTACAACCAAATTGTATGACACCTAGAAAGATATAGAATGATGGTGTAAATGACATTCACTAAAACTAAACACAATATAAATCTTCACCACTAGAAAGACTGCAAAAACACAGTTGAAAATAGTTCTAGACTCAAACTCGACAATCTTTGCTACTTCCAACTGTTAAAGGAGTACCAGTTTTAGGACAAAAAAGTTCCAAACAGCAACCTCTTCTAGTTTTATATATTGGGGAATAAAAATGAAAGAAGAAAGGACACTAAAGTAATGAAGAGCAAACATGATAAGAGTAATGAGAGAGTAGATAATTCAGGTTTTGGACTTACCTCAGGAAAATGCTTGGACACCTCCACTATTAGCACTGGTCGGCCACAGACATCAACAAAGTCATGCACGTAGGATTTTCCTGTTTCAGCTACACTTTTCACAGATTCCTCTGACAATTGTGACACACCAAATTCTTGACGCCATCTCTGATAGGTAGAAGGAAAATTGGCATGTATAAATCAAAGATATCCTATTTTTTTCATTGTCTGAAACTATGAAAATATTTATATGCAAACAATATTACAAGTGTTCCTTTATCAATATATAAGCAATAATTGCTGCATCCAAAACTTTATTTATATGCAAAAGAAAAATGATAACAAATAAATCTAAAGAAGCCAGGGGACAAAACTTAAAAAGTGAACCCCCCCTCCCCCCCACGCCCACCCAAAAACAACAACATACACACAGACCAAAAAAAACAAAAGGAAAGGGGGTCTACCCATTTTGGCATAACAAATTGCCAGATAATAGTCAAAGTATAATATTTGAAACATGCTGAGGCAGAAAATAACAATAGAAAAACAATAGAAATTAAATTACAATGGCTTTGGTCAATTTTGAGACAGCATCTCTGACAGAAAACTTCCGGTCCTTCAAAAACCAGAGGATCATGTCTTCATCATCTCTTCCATTTCTGCCCACAGGGAGATTGTGATAATCCTTTTCAAGCTTCTCTTTTACTTCCAGTACCATCTGCAAGTTCAAAAGCAGCAAAGACCATAAGGTTCTACAAAAGTTCAAGTCCTTGAGAAATGCATAAACAACAAACCAAGATCCAATTAATGCTGGTATGTAGTATCCTTGGACAACTCAACAACATATCTGAAGGTGTCTCTATTGATATGTTCAGCAAAACTTTCCCTTTTTTTGACGGGAAGGTTCAGCAACTTAAATTATGTGCTCATTATCCACATTTATAATATAACTCCATCTACTATAGATGCCACTTCACTCTGTCTAAATTATGCAGCTAACTACAACACTACTTCTGTTATATATGATTCTTCTTTCATTTGAGAGTACTCCATTGAAAAAGAGTCTTACTCCAAATAAAATGTTTCGATGTTTGTCCAAAAGAATTTTGTGAGAATACAATATGATGCAGGTTACGCTTCATACATTTAGTTTGACAATGAAGTAGCTTCTGTAAAAGAAGAGATGAGGTTGAGGGAGAAGGGCAATGGATAGTGATGTATATTAGAGAGGGCCCCGCCGGGGGCAATTGACTTAGTAATCACATGTGATTTAGAAACCCACTGCTCGCATTTGTTTGTTCTTTATTGAAAGCACACTAATAAGAAATTACTTTTTGGATGCTGCAATACCTTCTTTGTTACATAATAGAACGTAATTCTCAGCGCCAACAAATGGGGAATGTGACTGACTTGTTTTTAGTAAACTTGTTAAGATATATAGCACTGAAAATTAGAAATAACTTAATGCTAGTCATAGGTGACATCTTACAAGCAAGGATCAAAATATCGTTTCGGTGTATTGTTTCGGTCACCTTGAAAACGGAAATGTTTCTACGTGCTTCACAAACATTTTGACCCATTTTGAAAACATAATGAAAAAAATAAAAATTTAAGAATTATTTTTTAAAAACATTGATAGAAATACATCAAAGTATCTTGAAATACCTTGAAACATTTTAAAACAATTGTGCAAATGCATTGAAATATTATAATACATTTAAAAACATTATTGAATACCTCAAAATATCAAAATTTCGATTCCATCACTGTTTCGTTTGAGTCTCCTTGGAAATAGAAACGTTTCGACCGTTTTGAAATGATATTTTGATCCTTGCCTACAAGGGATGCTTGTAAAATTCCCAAGAAGGAAAATCTAAGGTAGAGAATATTGAGACAATAATAACTAATCTATTGTCCCTTGCTTGTAGTGCCAAAATACAATAAACTCTATCTTCTTTGGGGGAAATATGGTTTATCTCATACATTGTATAATTGCAAAGTTGGGTTATGTAGTGAGAACATAAAAGCTAGAATCTAAGGCGTTAACAAGATGCAAATAGTACCAAAAGTTAGGCTTATACCCAGTATAACCCTTCCATCACTGAGTTGGCGTAAGTAACATTGATGGCGATTATATACTATAAGAAGCCAATTCTTCTCATGGACGAATAAGCTGAATTACTAGAATAATGAGGCTCCCGGCAAAGGAAAGAACAAATAACCAAGTACATAAGCATGTTGAATTGGTTGACTCATGATGATGCACAAAATTGTCTTCGCGCAAGATTAACAGTCAAGTATACGAACGGGTGCAATAAGTGAGCAATAACAGGCAATTAATGATTAAAGCAGTAAATAAGAAGAAAACATAGAGGTTTATAGTGACTCGGTCCGGGTGACCTACTCCACTCTGGGGAACGACGACGATGGCCTAGGGTGTTTTATTAATGAACAGTGTCACCGAGAGAGTAACTCCGATGTATTACAGTACTTTGGAGAGAGAGAGAACGCAATGCGTGTAGGAAGGTGTCCATCGACGAAGGCAGGAATCTTCCCTCTCTCTCTTCTCTCTGTTGTTGAGGACGAAGAACCCCAATCTAGCCCTTCTCTCTTCTCTTTGTTCTCCGTATTCTCTCTCTTCTCCCTGTTCTTCATCGACGAAGCTGCCTTGGATCGAAGCTGCAGCTGCCTTCTTCTTCTTTCCTTCTCCAGCTAGTCCAGCTAAACTTGTGTATTGTAAGTAATTCTGTTAATTTATTTACAAAGCCAAATATATTTTTTTTTTTGTATAAAAATTCTGAATCTTGATTAATTTTAATTTTGTGAAACGGTGGCATCACCAACATCCTATTTTCATTATTTCATATAAAAATGACTAAAAAACTTGCTAATGATCCCACATGGGAACATTGTGANAAAATTTCGATTCCATCACTGTTTCGTTTGAGTCTCCTTGAAAATGGAAACGTTTCGACCGTTTTGAAATGATATTTTGATCCTTGCCTACAAGGGATGCTTGTAAAATTCCCAAGAAGGAAAATCTAAGGTAGAGAATACTGAGACAATAATAACTAATCTATTGTCCCTTGCTTGTAGTNATGAAATACTATAGTTGATGGAGTATTAATAAAATGCTATATTTTTATGAATGTATGACTTTTTTTCAAATGTATATATATTTTATTATTATTAATTTAAAATTGTACCGTATCTTACGATACACGATACGATACAATATTTGTATCTTACGATACGCCTTTCGATACACGATTTGATAACTATGCCGCTGGGTACGGACGCCGCTGGGCATGGACGCCGAGGGGTGCTGGTGTCAGGAGCAGAGAGGTCCTTCTTGGATGGCATGCAGAAGGTGGGCGACAACCAGCCTGGGCACTGTCAACCTGGGTGGTGCCAACCTGGGTGCTGGCCGCCTGCTACTGGGCACTTGATGAGTGGGTCACTGTTGATTTCTCTGGCTTTGTCCCCTATGAGACACCAGTAGTAGTTGGTGATGGAGAGAGTCTTGATTATAGTGGTTGTTACTCACAGAGCAGTGCCTGATCGTTGGGAGTATGACGACCGTTGTCCTTTTGTCTACACCTTGTTGTTAAGCCATGTTCTGACTTTTATAAACTGTTTGTAAATTTTAGGAAAATAAGACGATTCTGGACCCAATAATCTTCATAAAATTTTATTTCATAAGATGATAAAATAACAAAATAAATAAGCTAAAACAATAAAGGATAGATAAATCTTCAGGTGCTCGGTGTCCCATNACAAGACGATTCTGGACACAATAATCTTCATAAAATTTTATTTCATAAGATGATAAAATAACAAAATAAATAAGCTAAAACAATAAAGGATAGATAAATCTTCAGGTGCTCGGTGTCCCATAGGTGGACTGAGGCTTTCTTGGCAGAGTTCGAATCACCTTCTCCTCCTAGCCCTCAGGCGATCGTCTGAATTTCTCCAAGGGGTTGTTGGCGTTCTCTATCGTCCTGGTCTCGACCAGGTGGCAGANCAAATCGCCTTCTCCTCCTAGCCCTCAGGCGATCGTCTGGATTTCTCCAAGGGGTTGTTGGCGTTCTCTATCGTCCTGGTCCCGACCAGGTGGCAGAGCTTGTCCTCTACCAGCAACGTACTGCCTTAAATGGCCACGTTGTATGAGTTCCTCGATCTGCCTTTTAAGAACAAAGCAGTCGTCCGTATCATGGCCGTGGTCGCGGTGGAAACAACAGTACCTATTGGAATTTCTACAGTTTGGGGTGGACTTCATTTTTTTGGGCCAACAGAGCGTGGGATCATCCTGTATTTAGAACAGGATGTGCTCCACAGAAGCATTGAGCGGCGTGAATGCCTATCGTTCTCTCAGAGGTGGGGGACCAAGGCGGTCCTTGGCAGAGATTTTCTCTGTCCTATTTCTCTTGTTCTCTGCTTCTCTCCTGTTTTCACAGGTATCCTTCCTCTTTTCACCCCATGAGAAGACTCACCTCGTCTGGCCTTGGTGATATCCTCGGCGTTCATATACTTTTGTGCCCTTGATAGCAGCTCGGACATGTTGGAGGGCGGCTTCTTGAGGACTGAGAACATGAAGCTGGAGGTGCGGAGGCCGACGATAAAGACGGTCAGAGCTACCTTATCATCTGGCTCCTCAACCTGGAGGATCTTCTCATTGAAACGGGCAAGGTAGTCTCTAAGGCTTTCATCCCTGTCCTGTTTGATAGTGAGCAAGTGGGTCACTGGTTTCTGATGTCGGCGTCCCCCAATGAAGTGGGAGACGAAGGACCTGTTGAGCTCAGCGAAGGAACGGATGGAGGAGGGCCTGAGCTTGGAGAACCACTGGCGAGCAGACCCCTTCAAGGTGGTAGAAAAGACTCTACACATTATCTCCTCAGGTACATTGTGGAGTTGCATAAGGAATTTGTAGGTATCCAGGTGGTCTAGGGGGTCCTTAGTGCCATCAAAGATCTCGATGATGGGCATCTTGAACTTCGAGGGTAAGGGGTAGTTAACGATAGTAGCAATGAAAGGGGAATCAGTACGCCTTACCAAGTAGTCCACGGTTTCAGGCGCCTGGGCCTTGATTGCGTTGAGGGCATCGCCAAGTTAGTTTTGCAACTCTCTGATCCTCTCGTCTCATTGGTTGGGGACGTCCTTTATCGGGTGGTGGTTCTGGCTTCTATGGTCCCCATATTGGCTCTCTCCTTCTTCGTCCTCCTGCATAGGTACGTGTGGAGAGGGGACATGTGAGCTCCCTACGCGTTGAGGAGGGACTATTGGACGAGGGGCGCCCTGGTGTGGCCTTGGGGTATTCTGGCGAGGGCCCCCATGGTGAGGGACTGCCTGACGCCCAGGGGGGAAGGGTTGCTGCTCCTTTCTTGTTGGAGGGAGTGGGGCTCCTTCTACAGGGTGAGGGGCGACACCTCCTTGGGTGAGTATTAACTGGATGATTTGTTGGTTCTGTTTTACCAATAGTTGCATAGTCTACAGAAGCTGTTGTCTGACGACGGGGGTCGTCGTAGCAGATAGTTCCGATGGTGCGAGGGGAGACGGAGCCTCCTCCCGGGGGGTTGGGTTGTTGTCTCCCGGCTGTTGGCTCATTGATCTGGTAGTGATTGTCATGGATCAAAAGAGTAAGAAAATTAGTCGTTTTTCACAGACGGCACCAAACTGATGATGCACAAAATTGTCTTCGTACAATATCAACAGTCAAGTATACGAACGGGTGCAATAAGTGAGCAATAATAGGCAATCAACGACAATTAATGATTAAAGCAATAAATAAGGAGAAAACATAAAGGTTTATAGTGGTTCGGTCCGGGTGACCTACTCCACTCCGGAGAATGGTGACAGTGACTTGGGGTGTTTTATTAATGAACAATGTCACCGGGAGAGTAACTCCGATGTATTACAGTGCTTTGGAGAGAGAGAGAGCAATGTGTGTAGGAAGGTGTAGTGTGTGTAGGGATCTCAAGGTTATGAGAGCATTGCCCTCCATGTGCAGAGGACTTTCATTATATAGGTTCACCAAGGCGGTGACGTGAGAAAGGAAGTCTCTATCACTTTGGTAAATTCCATTTTAGTAGGACTCAATCTCCATCCCGAGATTCTTTCCCTCGTGCTCCTATTCACTCGGAGAAGGATACTGGATTGATCTTGATCTTGGACTTGACTCTGAGCCTGGACTTGGAGTGGTGTGGGCTTGCCTTGGAGTCAAGAGTACGTAGGAGGACAAGGAGCAACCTTGGGCGCTTGGGTGACCCTGGGCGGCGCCCCAAGTGCTTGGGCGTTGGCTCTTGGTGCTTTGGGTGCTGACCTCTTGGACGTCCGCCTCTTGATGCCTTCTTGAATTTCCTCTTGACAGATCAACCCAGCTTCCCTTGGGCTTTGTCTTCGGTTCTGAGTATTTGGGCTTCGTGGTTTATTTTAATTGGGCCCAATAAAATTCGGGCTCATCAACTCATATACCACTTGATGCAAATAACTTCAACTGTTCAAGCAGGAATTGTACAAACATGGCGGTAGAGAGGGAAGGCACTGCAAGGATAGGTGCACCACAGCATGCGCCAAATTTCTAACACGTTATTGCTATGAAAGAAGCACCATGTGCAACAAATGCATAGTGGTGTGTGTGACTATTAAAATACGACCTACAAGACTTAGTTTCATAATATCAATAGGGCCTTCAACGAGCAAAATAATTCCCAATCATGCATACATAATAACAGAGAAATATTCAAATATAGATGGGGTTTGTCCAAAGCTTCATCTTAATCTATGCGGCTACATTCTTGGACAATTACATGGATAAATGTGATCACAATGAATTCTCTTCCTGAATTAGAATCCCCAAAAATGCATAGTTGGAAAAGAACTTAACTGCATAACACTGTCTATGACTCTATATAATTTAAAAAACATTTACAAAATTCATGCAGCAACCACTATACCAGAAAGCTAAAATCTTCAACTAAGTGAGCTTAATTCAAACACATGGTCAACTACAAGTGAGAAACTTCTACCATAAGCGAAAATATAAACAAATAAACAACTAAAAATTTCATCTCAACAACCAAAAATAGAAGAACATTACTGGAAAATATAACAGAAACATAGCAATGGACACACAAAATAACGAATGAACTCTCAATTTCTAAGTTAAACCAAAACCCTAACCGCCGTAACAGACATTTAGCACAGTATATGTTACATGAACATGAAGTGAGGAAACAGAGAAATGTGACCTTATGCTCATTGTTGGAGTCCAAAGCATGACTACGAACGCAGAATTTGCCGATTCGAATGGGTTTATTGGACTGAATTGGAGCAATTATGCGAGGCTGAAGAGGAAAATGCAGACGGAGAGCCATTTCCGAAATATGTGTGTGACTCTGTGTGTTCTCTCTTACATATATGTATTGAGTAAGCTGTGACAAGGAAGGAGTAGATGATACCTGAACTGTGTCTGTGAGTGGCGTGTACGCTGCGTCGCTACAAGGCGGGTTCGTAGGCACACATTCTGGTTAGCCACGCAGCGACTGCATGTTAAAAAGTGACCACGCAACGACCCGGTTAGGATCGAAAGCAACCAGCAAGTAATTAGGTCTCTTCCGGTGAAGCAAGTTCGCCTCGGGTTTACTAAGTTGGTTTTAAAAATATTTTATTTATATTTAATTCGTTTATTAATTCATGTCCAATAAATTGTGTCATATTGTGTGTATAAATTGTATATAACCAGTATATAAATAAATCGTGTCATATATTTTTTTTAACTGACTTCACTTATATTTGATTCGTTTATTAATCGTATCGTGTCGTATCGTGTCGAGTTCACTTATTTATGTAATGGACGGTTTAAAGAAGACTTAAACCCTTTTTTAATTGATTTCACTCATACTCAATTCGTTTATTAATTGTATCATGTCAGGTCTATTTATTTACGTAAAATGTATTTTAAAAAAAACTCAAACTCTCTAATTCCATAACGCATTCGTGTCGTGTTAATAAGTCGTGTCATATTTTATCGTCTCTAACAAGTTATCACAAAAGTGGTAGAAATCTGTGCGTGCAAGATCCTGCACAATATAAAAACGAGAACAGATATCTCCCTTGGTGAACTCGAGTGAGCCAGTTGAGTGACCAACCACGCTGCTTGGAACAACCTGCGAGGTCCGGTGGTAACCTGAAACGGCAACGGGAGATCCTGGGGGAGCGGAAGAACGATCCAGTAAGGCTGAAAGAGGTTCCTGGAACAAAGAAGAACAAGTTAGAAGGGCGCCGGAGTGTTTTTCGGCGTATCCCTTCCGACGATTTAGTCAGTCTTTGAGAGAGAGAGAGGAAGAAGAAAACACTGAGTGTGTATTGTAGTAAAGAGTTCTTTTTTGCATACCGGTCTTGCCTTTTGCAAGGAGTATTTATATCTCAAAAGCTCATGATTGCTGTCAGTGTAGTCAGTAGGTGATCATTAGGTACAGACAGTGTGCGCACTGATTCTGATGAGGAATGTCTTCTCTTCTTAACTGCTCGAAGTCCCGAGCAATCAATGCTGCGTCATCGGAATGCCGACGGTACAATGTACTCCTCTCGGGGAGGATACAATAAATGCTCTGTATTATGAGCATTTATTGTCTTTCATTTCCGAGCCTTACCGCATTGAATGCGGTCTCATCAAGGGAATGGTGTAATTAATAGTNTGTACTCCTCTCGGGGAGGATACAATAAATGCTCTGTATTATGAGCATTTATTGTCTTTCATTTCCGAGCCTTACCGCATTGAATGCAGCCTTGTCAAGGGAGTGGTGTAATTAATCGTTTTGTGTTCCCAAGTCGCGTGTCAGCAACGGCATGCGGCTTTTCTGTTTTTGATGTGATATCGTATGCCACGCGTCCATCCCCCATTGGTTGTGGCCCCTGCATTCCAGTACGTTCTGACACTAATTGTGTAAGACGAGGTCATGATGAATAGCCTAGGCTAATGACCTGTATTCAATAGCTTATCCTGGAGTAGAGGAGGCGTCCAGGACAGGGTACATCTCGGCACCGAGGAAAGGCTNCCAGGCTAATGACCTATACGTCACTAGCTTATCCTGGAGTAGAGGAGACGTCCAGGACGGGGTACACCTCGGCACCGAGGAAAGGCTCATCTCGGAACCGAGGGAGGGATACCGACCGAGGTACCATATCAGACCGAGGCTACGTGTTGGTTGTAAAACGTACTGAATGCCATGATCCTATATGACGAGTACCTCGGGGGCGAGGACCTTTATGCGCCGATGGTGCTTGATCTTAGCAACAGTGTTTTGGTAATACCGAGAACACATGTCTTCATCATGGGATATTTCAGAAAAGTCTCATCAACTATCCCGTTAGAGATGTTCTTAATTCATGAAAAAACTATTAGTTAAAGGTATGATTATAAGTTGTGTTGTTTCTATATATCTTGTCGTCTCAAAATCGTGTTATTTTAGATTTGTGTCATATATAAGTTATGAGCTCATGTTTGATATAAATAGTGTCGTGCGTAAAAATTACTCAATTCATACTTAAATTCCAACATGAACACTGAAAACCTCTATCTTTGCATCAAGTATTTTAGAGTTGGATTCAAAGTTAGCTGTCTAAGTTGTAGGCCTGACACTTGTGATAGGTAGTGTTCAGGCCCAACAACAATTGGTTGAAGCCCACATATGTGGGCTTGGGCAAACCCAAGGTGTGGGGTTTCAATGCTGGGCAACACGTAGATAAAAAGACATTACACTACCTCAAAACAAGTATATGGATTGGAGATAATGGGTATTTTAGACAATTCCATGCTAGCAAAGGATGATGGTTATGTTTGATTAATACCACTACGGAGGTCCCACATGAGACTTATGTTTGCTTAAAGAATATGGGTTAGGAATGTTAAAATTCAACCAGGTGGGATTTGAAAGAGTAGAGAAATGAAATCCAATCCAATCCCCACTCATTCCACCATCCAGACATGACCTTAGATAGAAGGGACAAAAATGATCATCCAAACTTCTCCCATGTTTGTATTTCTCCATTTGAACAGATTCTGCATGATTGCATGGGGTCAATCCCCATCCTCATGCCGATTGAGGGTGGGGACTGACACTTCATCTTTCTTTTTATGTTTTTCTAATAAAATTTTTGTGTCTTATTAAGTTTCGTAGAGAAGTCAATTATGAGTGGAGTGCTCGAATAGTTGATCAATAGCACGTCCTCGAGCATATCAAATTGTCATGTCAATCTTAGTTGCACAAGATCGAACGATTATCTTAGTTCTCGACTATTCGGTCGAATAAATCAGCCCTAAAGAAGCATGGATTGATTGAGTAAAGAAGTTCAAGTAGTTTACTTTGTCCTACGTCGTGTCTCATCAATAACGAAGACAAATTCATTTTGCTCGACGAATGTTAGCTGTTTATGTGATTTTTTGGCAATCGTTTTCATAAGAAAAGACACCTGGTTGTTATCTTAAATTTTATCGCTAATCACGATTTATTACAATAAACATCGAGGATTTTTAGCTACTTTATATATTACAGCTTACAGTTCTAGCATAGCTCTTATTGCCTTGAACATGACTTAAAAGGGGCCTTAACATGATTTGTTTATAATTAAGATACATCAATCTTCAAACTCACCCCATTCCTGCAATGTCAATGTTGCAACTCCAACATTTTTCATGTCAAGAACATTGGCAGCATGTATGTCCGGCGAGGCGGCCGCGTGGCATCAACAAGAACAGTAAGAGATTTATAATCCAAGGCAACCGAATCAAACACAGTCTGCCTTATACAATTTGGAGTTTGAACACCAGTCACAACCAAATTGTTAATCCCAGCACCTTGAAGAAATGAAAGGAGATAAGTATCAAAGAATGCACTAAAGCGAGTCTTCACCACCTTATAATCTTCTTACTTGATGACAAGCTCATCGACAAGTTCCGCGCCTATGCTGCCTCTAGGGCTGGTTTTGGCTTCCCGGTAGCATAGAAATGCCCCCGGAGCAGTTCAATCCCTCCCGAAAGGATAATGCTTGCGAACAACCCAAATTACGAGTGTCCCGCGTTGCCTACCTATTTCAATTGCCTTCATGACTTTAGGGACGTACATGCACTGAACCACCTGGTAGTATGAAATATTTCTGCATGTCTATGACTAGAAGAGCAGAGTTTTGCCATTTGTTAGTCATAGCCATTGCAATTAAATTAACTAAGCAAATTGTTCTAAGACAATTTTGATGTAAATGAGTTTGTGATTGCTAAGAAGGAATCATATGGATTTATATTGTGAATTCCCCCCTCGCCCCCCCCCCCAACCTCTCCTATCATTAGGACGGTTAATCAAATAGAGCAATTCGGGTTCGGCTCGTTTTTTAAATGAATCGAGTTTAAATAATTTTTCAGACTTGTTTGGAAAATGAGCCTAACAGTATTAGTTCGAACTCGACAGACTTGACTCGTTTATGTACAAATATTCTGGCTCGGCTCGTTTTCTAAACAAAATGAATTAAACTTAAACAATTTTTTAGACTCAATTAAAAAAATAAGTTTTGTAGACTCGACTCAAACTCGTTCAACTATCAGCCGTACCTATTGTTCACTCAAATTCAACAGCTATGGATACCACAGCTTGAAATTACCTTCCAACATCGTCCTAAACTGCCTACCCATATTCACCCCAGCCGCCTAGCCTTAAGTGTTACTTTGAGCTTCCATTGAGGTGTGTTGGGTTTTTTTTGTGGAGTCTAGTTTGTGTGTGATCTGAATGTTGACTAGTCCCAAATAATGTTACGTGGTTTTTTAATGGGAATTTTTTGACGCTTAGTCCACGAGAGGAAAATTTTTTTGGCTTGTTTTGTAGTCCTATGAGCATGACATATATAAACTGATTATTCGGTGATTAGGGTTTGTGGATTGATTCTATACAGTTGCCGCCCTCTCTGTATTCGTTTTTTAGAATAGTGAAACTCTTGCAGTTTCGTGAATGTAGGCAAATTATCGAACCACGTAAATTTTGTGTGATATTCAAATTCTGTGTGACCCAAAAAATTATCAAAATTTAAATTTAAAACGTTTGAATTTGGAACTTGCTACTATTACTACTCAACAAATCCGTTGTGTGATATTCAAATTCTGTTACTTCAAGTTGTACTGTGTTCTTATCAATATTCATGTCAGTGAACAATTATTTATTCTAAAACAACGCATATAATACTAGATGAAAAAGTGAAAAAATACTTATTTTAGAGTTACAATTTTTATAATAAAACATGATAAATTTTAATAAGTCTATATAACAGTCTCAAATAGACTCATCCAACGGACACCAACGTACCTCTCAAAACTATTCACATTACACCG